ATTGGACTGCAATGAGGCAATACAACAAATTGAAGAGGTTTGAGAACTGGGTATCTACATCACTGAGATTTGGAAAAGAATAGCAGCAATAACCAGTTTCTTTCCACCAGTTTATTGGATGGAAAATAGCTCAGCCTAATATGCACAAAATCTATTCAGAAACATTCCCTTCCACTACCTTAACATAAGCTAAAAATATGTGTGTTGTTCCAGCACTTGAGTGCCTATCTGGTCATGCTCTAGTTGTAAAACTAACAATAAAAAAAAAAATACAAGATACACACAAAAAAGAAGGTAAAAGCAGACATTTACAGAAGACTACAAAGGCTATTTCCATAGAATTTTCAAGCAGAAACGTCTTCACACCTTTTGAGAAAGTGGAAAAAAAAATCACCAAAGTGAGAAAGCAGTCCAGAGCTGAGGAACTGAGAGTGTCGGGATCCAACCTATGGTCCCTCCATTCCGTGAATGTGAGCAGACTGACTGAATCCATGTGGATTTTCAGTAACATCAACAAACTCCAGGCACACATGAAGGTTTGCCCACAGACATGAGGCTCTGGAGATGGTATTAAAGCAGGAAAAAAATACTGTAATGGGTAAAGTTTTTAGTTACCAGAAACCTTCTACATGTTACACCTTCCTTTATACCTAGTGCCCACTTTTATATGTGTGTGTATACTTATATGTATGTGCTATATTCCCTCCCCTAGGATATTAAATATCTTTCTTTAAAAAGTGATAGAAGAAGCTATTTCCTGTGACACTAGTTGAGGATAACTAACACTGTTTCAACATTTTTGTCCTAACATAATGAACCATTCACTGTTCTAATGTTGGACATTAGAGCTTTGATATTATTCTTGTCTACAAGAATACTTCTGTCTGAATTATCTCGGGTTGTGTAATGCTATGAGAAGATGAGTTATCACACTTTACAGACCATGATTCCACAAGTAATTCCAGCCCTGGCATAATTTAGAGTTCATACAGGGCATCTCTGTGTTATGCCAAGTAAGAGCTCAGAAACTGCAGAAGCTCCAAGACAGAAAATGAAGTGGCAATGTGCTCCAAATCCACCTCCAGTGCTCAGTGCCAGGAGATGCCATATCAGATGCTCAATACATACTGGAATTCCTGGAGAGATGAAGGTTTTTTTACACCATCTCAGTTGTTTACCATACATGATTTATGGCTCTTGTACGCTGCCCAATAGGCCACAGAAGGGATTTGGCCACATGTGCCTTGACAGCATGGCAAAGGATGAAAATACGTCGAAATAACAAGACAGCTTTCATCCATATTAGCTCCCAGAAGCCAAACCAAGAAGAGGTAGTATATCAATTCATAGGAAGGCACAAATATGTTGACCATGAAGGTTTTAGAAATAATTTTGTTGATGTATTAACAGAAAATGCACATGGAAATCTTCTTAACAACTTCACGCAACTTCATTTCCTTATTTAACCAAGAATCCTGCAAAGTTTTGAAAACAACTTCTTAGCCTTTTTTTCTTGAAATTGATTACTAGTATTGAAATTCACAAAAAACCTTCCTTATGGCTCATAGAAATTATTGTGTAAGCAAAGGTGACAGCCACCTGAGAACACTGATGCTAGTTCATATTTGGTGGTATTATTACTCAGGAAGGAAATTCTGGACATCATACAACTCCTATCTTCTCTGTATGCAAACAGTGTAATTCCTGTGCCAGCAGTATCTGCATCTTCAAAGGAACAACATCTAGTGAGGGCTTATTCCAGCGTTCTGTCCACAGGACATCTTCACGACCTTTGCTCTGCGCTCCTTCTATGCTGAACAATATCATTAGAAGGACAAAACCTCAAAAGCCATAATACAAATAATCACTATTTTTCCCAGAAACTACAACTGAAAGGACTAAATATGACTTTGAAGAAAAGCCAGGGCTTTCATTTTTGTCTAAAGGAAAGAAATGGTTTTTGTGGTCCTCCAGCCTGTTTGTATTTCCCATTTGCATCTGCACAAGGAAACTAGATTCTCTTTTCAAACAAGCAATTCCAAGTAGCAAAAGCCTTAATTCAGTATGCCAAGAAAATAAAAATATCGTTCCCAAAGTTCACAGATAAATTATTTCCCAAACACATAGAAGAGCCAGTAATAAAAAAAAATAAAATTTCTAAATCTCAGTATAATTTCTTCCAAAACAATCAATCTCTGATATGCACAAGTAACTGACTCATAAAAAAATTAAGTATAAAATATTTTGAAAATATATATATACCTCCTTTTAATAGATTACATTATTTTCCATATACTAAGTCTCCAATAATTTAAGACACCAAAGAGTCAACTGTATACCTTCATCATTACTTATTTGAAATAAGAGACATAGCACAAGTGCTACATTCAGCATAATTTATACTTAAATGTTATATAAATACACAGCAAAAGAGATAACACTGAACCTGTGTTTAGTAAGTTTTATTAATAATGATTAAAGAACTTAACAGTGTTCAATTCAGTGAATGACATTATCCCCTTGAAGAGCAGCCCCTAACAGGCCCTAATCCAAATAACCACTGGAATTAGCAGGAGGAAGATCACAGGTTTAAACAGACACTGAATCAAGCACTTGCTAATGTTCAGGAAAGATCCACTTACAGCAGACCTGTCTTGAGTCTTCACTGCTGAAACAACTGAATGAATAAGAAAGGGAAAAAAAAAAAAAAGAAAATACTGCCACACTCCTTAATTCACATTGCAGTAATTCAGTAATTTGCAGCACTAGTGCTCAACTAGTGGGTTCTTAAAGTAACACGTTGAATGAATGACCAGTGCTGAAGTGCTAAAATACAATCGGCAATCCTGTGCTGAGGCAATCCCTTAACAGGCTTCATGACATCTCCTACTTGCACTGTTATCCAGACATTCCAGCTAGATCATTTGCTACAAAACCCAGTGTAGAATGGATGGCAGAGGCAACATACAGAGCATTAGCGCCACTCAGATATCTACAGATCTTAATCCTTTTTACCAAGACGACAGATAGTGAGGAATCCTGAAAAAAAACCCCAAAATCCCCAGGAAAAAAGAAAAAAAGAAAACAAGACTGAAGCATGTATACATCCTCTGTGTGGACAAAATTATCTGAAACCACAGCCTTGACCATGCGGCAGAAGCATCCCACCATTCACTCACTCCCTTTATTCCCTCCAAAACAAAAAAAAAAGGAAGAAAAAAGAGAAAAAGGAAGAAAAAAAAGAGGAAAAGCAAGCAAACACGGCGTGAGTGTGTACAGTATCAGGTATTAGTGCTAGAGGGAGATGGAGAGCGATGGGAGCCCCTGCAGGACTGATGCCACTGGTTCAGAAGCCTGGGCTCCCCGGTTGGAAAAGAGGAGGAGGGCGGGAGCTCAAGGAACGCTGACAGCTAAATGCATGGCACAAGCAGCTGCACAGAATGGGACAGCTTCTTTCTGTCTCAGGATGTTACTGTCACAATGGCCAAGAGAGCGCTGAGCTGCAGTTTGCTATTCTCACCGTGGTACTTCAAAAAGTACCTGATCTGAGGAGCACTGGACAGGCGGCACATCCCACTGAGCTAAATAGACAAGTGTGAGATTTCAGCGACAAGAGGCAGCAGGTTTTGCTGTTCTAACAAGCGAGAGAGAGGATTTTTCTGATGGCACCAATGGGCACCCGTGGAAGGTCAGCCTGGGGTGCTGGCAGTGTCACCCGCGTGCCTAGTGGCAGATGGTGCCAGTCTGCAGGGATAAAAGGAAGGCTGACGCACACTGTGGGCTGACAGCGATGTTATTTGCTCAGGAATAAAGGAGCTTTGGGGCAGGTGCAGGCAGGACAAATTAACAGGGATGCTGAGCCCCCAGCGCTGATGTGTGCCCAGCCCGGGGGCTCGAGGGGCGGATAAACTGGGAGGTGCTGCCAGGGGGCTGCGGCTGGGACACAGCCCAGGCCAATCTCTGCATGGTCCCAGGAGAGCTTTGGAGCTGCCTCTCCTTACGGACATCCAGGCTGGACACTGAGATGGCCACCAGCACCCCGGATCTCCCTCCGGCAGCATCTTGCTTGTGCTGCTTGTGTTCCCATTTCTGGACTTACGCAATGGCTAGAGGGCAGAGGCAGCCTGTGGGAAGTGGGGCAGTGGGAGATGCAGGCAGCCTGCACACCCATGGGGGGGCACCCCGAAATGTCCCGAACTAGAAAACTGGCCACCTCACCACCCCTGCCTCCTGCAATGTAATTATTCCAGCATGACCGACATGACAAATTAACAGGGGGTTTTGCAGTCAAAGAGAGTGTTTTCCCCGAGAATAAATTGTTCAAATCCTTTATGCTAGACAACTAGCCATGCCTATTCATTAATTGGACAAGCTCTGGTGACAACTGAAATGACCTTACCTTCTACATATTGAAAGGAGAGCAATCTTTGCAAGCTTAAAATAAAGCTGTAAATCCCAGCCAGCACAGAGGCTCCCTGAATGGGACTTTTTTTTTTTTTAAGAAAAAAAATTCACAGCACAGACACACTACAGCTCATTTTAAAAGCAGAGACACTTTACTGTTACCCTTTGCAGACCCTGAATCGTGGCACCAGAACTTGACAACTCCATTAACAAACCACAAGCCCTTCAGGATCTGCACATCAGCCAAGCTTAAGAACTTCAAAAGATATGAAATTCTGGGATCACGGCAATGCTGCAAATAATTATCTCGATCAGGTACACTGGAATTATAAGCATCTTCTTTATCAGTACACCGTATTGTCTACCGCAACCAATGAATGATAATTAAGACACACGTATTGGAATTATGTGGGAGAGGGAAGTGATGAGAGTCGATTTCTGTCACAACCCACTCACACTACATCATCCATGGATTTTTCAACTACAGTTTTGACCTGGGTTTAACTGTTCCTCTTGCCCCTTAATAAGGGGACACTTGGGAACCCCGTACGGTATCTCCCCCCCGCTCCCTTGCCCTTTCTGTGCTTGCCGCATACCTGAAATGCAGACGATGAAATTCGCTTGCAGAAGAAAAAGCACCTCCCAAACAATTTCCATCCTCCGATTCTCATGCCAAGTGCATCCCTCGGCGAAAAAAAATAACAAAGATCAATATCGCAGTTTGAACGATCCCAGCAAATTTCCTTTCGGACTTGCAGACTGTATTCCCCAGATGTGCTGACAACACATGTCCGAGCTCTCTCTCCGCACGGCTCAAGCGAGATCCCTTCCCTTTCTTCGCCCTCCAAAAAAGATCACGAAGCCAACTGCCAACACCGGGCTCTTCCTCCTCGAGCGAGAAAAAATTCCACCAGATTTCCCAACACGACATAGACAACAAACCCCGACCGATCCGATATCCGGAGAGTCTCTCTATTCCAGGGGCGGCCAGGCGCAAATTAACCCCAAAACTCTGCACGTCTCAGCGGGGCAGTGCCGGCATGCCGGGCAAGGAAGCGGCGGAGGGAGGGGGGATTCCCCTCCTGTTGCTGCTGCTGCTGCTGCTACAGAATGAGCGGAAAGAGATTAATACCGGCGGCAAGCCCCGCCATCCCCGCCGCGCTCGGAGCGCGCAGCCCCGGCTCCGGCCCCGCCGCAATCCCGGCGCGCCGCGGCGGCTCCGCCGAGCGACTGCAGGGGTCGGGCTTGCCCCGCGCACCGAGCGCCCTGCCCCGGGATGCACCCCCGCAGCCCCCCGCGAGTGAGAACGGGGCTGGATGGCAGCGGAGGAGGGGTGTGTGTGTGCCTGTGTGTGTGCGTGTGCATGTGTGTGTGTCCCAATGCGAACGGCACCAAGCGCGGAGTCCGCATCAAGCGCGGCTTGTGCGCATCGCCCGGCTTGGCTGAGGACGCCAGTATTTTAAAACTTATTTAAACAAGAAGGAAAAGACATTCAGACCCAAACTTCTGTCAGGTTGGTGGCGGAAGGGCACCGGGAGGCTCTAAGCGAGAGTTAGCGAAGTGCCTGCGCTGCAGTGCATATCTGATAGCATTCCCCGGGTACATCAGTTCTGCATAGCTTCCCCTCCCTCCCCCGGCCACAAAAAAAAAAATAAAAAAAAGGAGCATTTAATTTGGGGCAATCGCTCACTTACTTACCCCCAGATATCCTCCTGGTTATTATCCCTCCCAGATCACCGGACGTGCCGCTCCAGCCCGCAGTTCCAA